TGGTTGCCTACTAGAACTCCAAGATCCCTCTTGCAATTATTGCTATTGAGCCAGGTTTCACCTATTCTATACCTGTGCATTGGTTCTTTATGAATATGAAGTGGCTATCTAAAGTAAAAATTCCTCCAATTCTAGTATTGTATGAGCACTTACTAACATTAAACAGAGTTTGAGCATTACCATAAATTAGTACATAATTCTTTTAATTGCCAACTAAAATGATATATGTAAGGGAAAATTCTACTATGTGAGGTTATACTGTGGTTAAAAGCATGGCTCATCACTTAAACAAAAGTACTAGAAAGTTATTCATAAGGTAAATTAATATACCAAGCCTAATTCTATATCAGAAGATATTACATTGAAAAATTATCCAGAAAGGTACATAAGTAAGTATGCCAAACAAATTATGGCAGGTGATAAATCCAAATCAGAAAAACATTAAACTACTTCTATTTTTAATTTCTAGTTGATTGTTGAGAGCCAAACAGTTCTGAAAATCCTACCAAGAAAGATGAAGGGACTTGTCCAGGCAGTCACCAGGATTCAAAACAAAACAACTAACAGCAGATTATGAAATACCACAACGGGGGGGGGGGGGGCGATATCTGTAGTTATTACAAAAATTCTATGACCTCTATTAAATGAATAAATAGGTATTTTGAGCACAAATCTGTTTCCAAATTGATCAGAATAACTAATATTGCATTCAGAACAAAATGTTTCAATACAAGTAAGGCTCTACATTTAGGCAAGAAAAACCAAATGTACAGGTATAGTATAGGGGGTACTTTGCTCAATAGTAGTAACTGTGAGAGGGATCTCGGAGTCCTAGTAGACAATCACTTAAATATGAGCCAGCAGTGTGCTGCAGCTGCCAAAAAAGCCAACAAAGTGCTAGGCTGCATTAACAGAGGGATAGAATCAAGATCACGTGAAGTATTAATACCACTCTTCAATGCCTTGGTAAGTCCACACTTGGAATACTTCATCCAGTTTTGGTCACCACGATGTAAAAAAGATGTTGAGACTCTAGAAAGAGTACAGAGAAGAGCAACAAAGATGATTAGGGGACTGGAGGCTAAAACATATAAGGAACGGTTGCTAGAATTGGGTATGTCTACTTTAACGAAGAGAAGGACGAGGGGGTACATGATAGCAGTGTTCCAATATCTCAGGGGCTGCCACAAAAAAAGAGGGAGTCAAGCTATTTTCCAAAGCACCTGAAGGCAGGATAAGAAGCAACGGGTGGAAACTAACCAAAGAGAGAAACAACCTAGAACTAAGGAGAAACTTCCTGACAGTTAGAACAATTAACCAGTGGAACAACCTGCTTCCAGAAGCTGCGAATGCTCCAACATTGGAAGTTTTTAAGAAGAAACTGGACAGCCATTTGTCAGAAATGGTATAGGGTTTCCTGCCTGAGCAGGGGGTTGGACTAGATGACCCCCAAGGTCCCTTCCAACATTATTATTATTATTATTATTATTATTATTATTATTATTATTATTGATCATCGCACAGTCAGCCAGATGTTCAGACTGGATTTGGCATTTTGTCTACCTATCGAGTCATTACCCAGGACCTGGGATAGGCAGATGTGGATGTTTGATGGTATTACAGGTATCGTCGCAGGATGGAAGCAGTTCCTAATAAGGCCGCCTTTTGCAATTGACTAATAGCGAATTTGTCAGTGCCAATGGTGTTCAAGTGGTGCTCCAGTTGTTTTGGGATTGCACCCAAGGCGCCTATGACTATTGGTACTACCCTTGCTTGCTTTTGCCACAGTCTTTCTATTTCTATTTGTAGGTCTTTGTATTTTGTTATCCTCCAGTTCTTTCTCGTCTATTCTGCTCTCTCCAGGCACTGCTACGTCCACTATCCAGACTTCTTTGTCTTTCTTATCGACAATTGTTGTTATTATGATTATTATTATTATTATTATTAAGTTCAGATTCAAAATGTTTATGACAACTGGAACCAGAATTTCCATTGCTAAATAAGACAGTTTTAAGTAAGTCGTACTTTACTTGTTGGAAGCTGGCTAAGATAGTTGCAAATGGTGATCACATAACCCTGGGACAAAGCAATAATCTAAGTACATGCCTGTTGCCAAGCATCTATATTTTGATCAAACGGTAGTGGGGATGCTATAATGGTTATGTGCAAAATCATGAATCATTTTTTTCAGTGCCAAAGTAACTTCAAATGGTTGCTAACCAAATGGCTTAAATGGAGGACTATCTGTATTTCTTTTTATATTTCCAAAACACATACATAAGAATTCTACTAGAATTAACAATGATTTTTAAAAATGTCACTTAGGGTCAGAATATGAAGGTTTGCAACCCTAATAATTTACATAAAAGTAATTTTCATTTAATTTAATATTCTTTTTAGCAATTGTTGAAATGTTATTTTAGATGTTGTATACTATTACTACGAGGCAATGATAAATAGTACCATCACATGAAGTACACTAAGGACATATAAAAGTGACTAGAGAATTTACTTACTATTCCCACAGGAGTAGGGAATTAAAAATTACAGTGATTTTTTTTTACACAATGTTTTTTATCTCCTGACACAACAGCATTATCTAGAATTCCCAGCCATTGATATTACTTATGATTCCATTATAAGTAACAAGATCAATACTCGCAAATTATGTTCTGGCTGTTTATAACAGTGGTTCTCAACCTTTCTAATGCCGTTACCCCATAATACAGTTCCCCATGTTGTGGTGACCCCCAAGTGGGTGTGGCCACCAATAAGAGGGAGTAGGACAGCTAGGGAAAAGGGAAAAAAATGGCGGACAGCGTGGTTTGGCGACCCCCGTGAAATAGTCATTTGACCCCAAATGGGATTCCGACCCACAGGTTGAGAACCACTGGTTTATAAGATGTGCAATCTTAACTAAAATCAGTACTATACTTCTGGTCAGATTAGCAATTTCATTTATAGAATTTGTCTCTTGCATTGATGAAACAACTTGTTTGTTCTTTCCTACCCCAAAACTGCTCACACTTCTATTCAAGATTGCCAGTGTAACTCTGGAATTAGAAACAAGAAAAAAAAAATCCAAGAATCACAATGACATTTTAGCCCACATCTATAGATTTATTTGCCTAAGTTTAATAAATAATAATAAACTCCATGTAGAAGTTAAAAAGTGGGTAGAGGGGATCAAAACAGAACTTTGAGACATCTCAAAATTCAGCTACCATAAGGTTGCCCAGAAATCCTCCAATAACTATTATCATATTGAGAGAAACAACCACTATCATACTGGGCATCAAATCCCAATCTGGAAACAATTTTAAAACAGATACTATGACTACAAGGCCCCAACAGGGCCAAACTCTTCACTATCTAATCCCTGTATCAATAATCCACTAAGACAGTTTCTTCCCAAAACTCAGTTCTGAACCAATCCTGGAATGCTAATCTAAAACTGCCTGGAGTTAATAGGCTATCATTTACTCTAAAGTCATATTTAAAAATTATATTATACAATCTGAGCAAGCAAATTCCAAGGCTACAGAATTTAAATTTGGCTTTCATATAAGGAATTTCACAATTATTCCTATAATACAGTTTGGGCAACCCTACATTTATTACTATACTTATTATATCTACTCGGGCCATTTCTGGCAGATTTCAGAAGCCACAAATTGTGAGGATTCAAAAGTTAAGTTTATTTCAGGTCTCCAAGTAGCTTGTCCATTTCTCCATTACCAGTAATGCAAGACAGTTATGTAAATAAAAATGCTAATAGCCTGGAGATTTTATTTATGAAAACTAAGAAAGACTGAGATTCCAGAATCAGCAATGCTTTCATGGTCTTTTCTCTGCGGCAGAGGAATATATATTATGGTCTTATTAAGTTAGATGGGTGTTATAATAAATAACTTCTGAAATAATTATTTTAAAATCTTGCAAAGTAATAGAACATTATACTGAGAATTGATCTCTGTGTATTTTGCACTTTAAAAATTTAAATCTACATTTATTTTGGATTCAGTAACCTGTAAAAATGTTTTATAACAGATGAAACAATTTTAAAAGTGAGAGCTAGGCAGACAATGAACATGAATGAAAAGTAGTATTCTTCACAATTACACTATGACACACATATATGCATATTCCAGGCTTCAAAAGAATAATTATTAGACATAGTCTTTCTAAGCACTCTATGCCAGTGGTTCTCAACCTGTGGGTCGGGACCCCATTTGGGGTCGAACGACCATTTCACGGGGGGTCGCCAAACAATGCAGTCCGCCATTTTTCCCCCCCTTTTCCTTAGCTGTGCTACTCCCTTTTATTCTATTGGCTTTTGAAAGCCAATAGAATAGACTCTCTTGAATAGAGTCTAATTCTATTGGCTTTCAAAAGCCAATAGGAATTGTCCAGGTTGTCTCTGCCCTGCTGAGCCCGCCAAAAGTCCCATTCTGCAAACGGTGCTGCACCAGTTGAGTAGTCCTCGACTTACGACCGGTTGGGGGTCACGGCATTAAAAAGGTTGAGAACCACTGCTCTATGCAGTTATATATCATAAGTTATATATCAATAGTGCTTCAATATTGAGCTAAAATTTCCAAAGATCAGAAAAATAATTAAGTCTGAAAAATGTGGTTTGCAGTCACAAAACACCAAATTATTTTTTAATCCTAATTTAAGCATTGGTTTGCCAAACATTAACCACTAAGGCATTTTTTTTTACTTTAAATCATTATTGTGCTGATGCCTGATAGCCAACTAATATTTGTGCAAACTGCCACTTCCCACTTTCTAATTATTTGAAATAATTTAAAAAAGGCTGATGATAGCTGGATCTTGATCAGAATCCCCCCTCCCCCATTCTCATTGCTAAAGTAATGTTACTTTTGGGAAGAGGTTAAAAACCAAAATGGAACAACTAAGTTATCTTTTCAAAAGCACTCTATTTGGTGGCTGTATCCCATATTATTTCCTGAAGAATTGATGGATACTGTACTTACCATAAACTACGTCTTAATGCAAGTTCACATGACATATGAGACCATTAGCAGTCTAAAACAAACCACAATTACAAATTGTGATCAAGGAGGAATATTTAAAGCACATTCTTATTCATAATTTGGGTACAGATGACACAATTCTTGAGTATTTTGTATGAATATAATCTCTGATTATCTTAAGGGTACCTTAATATTGGTTTACTCAATATTAAATCTAACATTTCTTCATTCATCCTATTTGCACTTCATATAATATTTCACAGTGAAGCATCAATTAATTTAGCATATAGAGAACAAGAAATAATATATGAGAAAAACTTGATAGAATAAAAAAAATGTTTCTTCCAAAAATAAAGAGCTACCACTGAAAAGCCCTGTTCCAGGTCAATTTAATCGGAACTTCCTTACAATTACATGCAGGATAGGAAAAATGCACAAACTGATATTGAATCTGTAAGGTCAAGGGGTGTAAGATCGGAGATGTATATTACCATGATCTCAACATTATATCCAGGTAAAAAAGTTGATATATATATATATAAAATGTGTGAAAATATTTTATTACTTTTAATTTATTTTACAAAGAAAAAAAATGTCATAATTATGAAAAATGCATGAATATTTGACCAAAATTTCTAAGCTCATGCTAAATTATGAGTTTCTCTTCTCATAGAGAAAGTTGTTAAAAATTAAAAGCGAGACTCTATCCATATATTGTATAACAAAGTAAAAACTAAATGTTTGGTGTTAGGTGTAACAACACATTAAATACACCCAACTATATAAAGCAAACAAGACACAACACTTTCATGAAAATAAGTCTAAACAAAATTCATGTTAAAGTTATTTTTTCACACTAAATCTCTGAATTTAAACAAACATTACAGGAAAAACAGAACATAAATTAAAAGCTACTTTATCAAATCATAATAGGAACAAAACCATCTAACTTGTAAAACATCCACTTACAATAAGGGAAGGTATTCTCATGCATTTCCATTTAACTTTTCTTTTTAGTGACATTTCACATGATTGAACAAAAGAACAAGCTCCCCAAACCAACAAGCAGGTATTGAGGGAGGGTGAAACAGGCAGACTGAGCTACATTATTTCACTACCATAATTAACTGCACTTTTCATTTCTAGAATAAAAACTTCGGCTGCCATTTTCAAACAACCTATCAAATTGGACATTCAAAATATACAACAGAGGCATTTTAGCAACTGTTGCAGCTTCACTTTTGGGTGAGCAGTGAACATGAATTTTAAAAGTTGATTAATGAGTAAGAAGGCCAATATCCCCTGCAGTCATTATTTTGAGACAGAACTAGAAACTGAACATTAGCTATGTGCCAATTACTTGCCAATGAGATGAATATTATGCAGCAAAGAGCAAGAAAGTATCTGACATTAGGGACACTACAAAAAAGCAGGGTGGAGGACCCAGTCCCATCTTTCCTTGTCTACTCTCCAGGTAAGCAAGTTGTCAGATCCATTTGCACAAACATTAAAGCAGAGCAAAACCGGATTTTCTGCAACATCAGACCTCACTAAAGATATAACTGTGGCGAATGAAAGAATAAGCTAGACAAAAAAAAAAGAAAATCCCAACACATCATGTCACCTCTCCTATCGTGTGAAATCGCGTGGGCGCCACGGTGAAGCTACTCGTCATATCATTCCGTTCCAGCAACGAGGATCTGGCCTCTTCCTTTCCTCGGATAAGACACGGCGGCGGCGCAACTCAGGTGGGAACGGAACCGAGCATCTCTTCCCCCACCTCTTTCCTCCCTCCCGTCGGGGAGGAGGCTTTGCAGCTGATTGCTGCTTCGGTCGCCTCCGTCTCTCCCCGCTCCCGGCCCATCTGCCTCCTCCCCCCACCAGTCCCCCGGCCACTTACTTGCCGATCACCTCGCACAGTTCATACACATCCTCGAACAGCACGTCGTCGTCGGCCATGGTCCAGATAGGGGAGAATTATCCTTGCAGGCGGCCGAGGCGGGAGGAGGCGCGGGCAGGATCCCCTCCGCGCTCCCCGCACAACACGCCGCCGCCGCCGCCAATCAGCACACCACGTTAAATCCCGTCCTTTTAACACCGAACAGCTCAAATCCGTCCCGGAGGTTCCGATGACTACGCCGAAAATTTCACCAGCTGCCGCCGCTCCCCGTTCCTTTCTCCTCTGGGCCTCGGCCACCCGCCTGCCTGCCTCTCTCTCCGCTGCCGCCTCTGGCTACCGCCGCCAGGTCGTCACCTTTTTCCCACCCCCTCCGTCGCGAGCCTTTTTTTTTCTTTCCTAGGGCCTCGGAGATTAAATGAAGCAGGCAAAGGCTATCCAGCCAGAGGGGTGGAGCAGCAACCATGGAAGGGATGGATACAAAAATGAACCGGCCGAGGGCAGAGACGCCTCATTCGCTCCCCTCCCCCCACTGGTGCACACTCACACACGAAGGGGACAAAACGAGAGCGCGCGGGAGGGGAGGGGAAGGGAAGGGAGAGGCAGACGCGGCTCCGACCACGCGCCGACGACAGCGATAAGTCATTTAACGAAGGGCGCGCGCGCGCCGTTCCTGTCCCAGTCGCCACCTTTTTTAATCAGTCACGCAACCGCCCAGAGCAAGCGCGCGCACCCTTCCTTACAGAGAGCGAGGGGGGGGTCCCTCACCCGCTCTTCCTCCTCCCTCTTTTTCTTCTGCACAAAGCCACTCCCACAAGTAGCTCAAAAAATACGCGTTTGGCGTAAGGAAGCGAAAAGGGGTTGTTCTGCGCAGACGCAGATGTTTTAACGTCATAGAGCAGCAAGGGTGGGGGGGAAGAGCGGATAATGTTACTATCTTTTCTCAAGCGGGTGGGTTTTTCTCGTAGCAGTTTTCGAGGCAAGGCTTCGAGATTGAAGTGGAGTCCTGTAAACTAAGATGAAGAAACGAGTATGGCTTCTTCGGATGTACTGATATCGGATAGTAAGGCATAGGAAGAAAGAGCAGATCTCCGTCACCGTGCTTTTGGGTGTTTTTCTTTTTAATGATAGTCGACTAGTTTTTTGCGAGAGCAGCAAGTCCTTTGGGTTACGCGAGAAAGTAAACTAAAGGAAGCTCCGAAAGGAAAACTAGCAAAATTAGTTGTTCCTGTATAACCAGAATTCCTGATTGCAAGTTGTTCTGTTTAATTCTTTTCTGTTCTGGTGCATTTTCCCCTGTTCCTTAATTTGATTAAGAATTAATATTTTAAAAATACGGTAGGGAAATAGCATTGCTGATTCGACAGGAATGTGCAGTTAGGAAAGTGGAAAAACTGTTAAAACTACAAGTAGAAATTCTGGTTTATCCATTCACTGTCCTACTCCAATTTGGATCACCCACTTCCAGATGGGAAATCACTTGGATATCCTTGGCTATAGAGTGATTTATTATGTGCCATCAAGTCTTAGCGACCACATATATTTCTTCCATGACAATCTGTTCCTAACCTAGTATTGTCAGGTCTTCCAATGTGCACCCATCACCACTGTAAAAGTCCATCCACCTTTGCTGCTCGTTCTCTTTTTCTTTCCTTCTGCCTTTCCCAGCATAAAATGTTCTTCTGTGAATTAGGTCTTTGCATAATGTGTTCAAGGGAGGATAATTTAAACTTAGTCAATTGTGCCTTAAGTGAAAAGTCTGTGTTCATTTGCTTGACAATCCATTTGTTTGTTTTCTTGGCTGTACACAATATTCTCAGGAGCATTCTCCAACACCAACTTTAAAGGAATCAATACTTTTCCTATCCTGCTTCTTCAAAGTCCAACTTTCACTTCTATAGAGTGTCACAGGGTATACCATGAATTGTAATATTCTGATTTTTGTAGCTATAGTATTTAAATATCTTTTACAAGGCCTTCAGGATTGCTCCACCAAGTGCTAGTCTTTGTTGTACAGGTAGTCCTCGACTTACAACAGTTTTTTTTTTAATAAAATTTTTTATTAATTTTTCTTTTCATCAACATATGTTAATTTTTCCAATCAACAAGTTGTCTGGAGTTTGCTATGCTAATACATGTTCAATTCTTAATCCTTCATTCTCTTCTCTAACCAAGAATAAAATAAATTCCAAATTTGATAGTAGTCTGTATCTTCTTTATCTTTCAACCTCATAGTTAATTTGTCCATCTCTGCACATTCCAATATTTTCCTGATTATTTCTTCCTCTGATGGCAGTCCTTCATTCTTCCAGTATTGTGCAAAAATTATTCTCGCTGCTGTAGTATGGACTTACAACAGTTTAGTGGATGTTCAAAGTTTATAACGGCACTGAAAAAAATGATTTATGACCGTTTTTCACACTTAGGACCATTGCAGCATTCCCCTCAGTCATGTGATCAAAATTCAGATGCTTGGCAACTGGCTCACATTTATGACGGTTGCAGTGTCCTGAGGTCACCATTCGAGCACCTTTTGCGACCTGACTGGCAAAATCAATGGCGAATCCAGATTCATTTAACAATGTTAAATGTTATTAACGTAATAACTGCAGTAATTCACTTGCGGCAAGGAAGGTTGTAAAATGGGACAAAACTCATCACAAATGTCTCACTTAGCAACATACATTGTAGGCTCAATTGTCATAAGTCGAGGACTACCTTTATTTCTTGACTGCTAGTTCCTGTCCTGTTGATGGTTGATCCTAAAAGGCGGCTATTTACTATGTCTTCCTTATCAGTTCTAATAGATATAGAGAAGAATGGGGGACGGGCAGATAAGCCCATTCTGTATTGTTGCACAAAAGCAACATCCACATTGCATCAACTAGAAATCAGGCTTGATTCAAGAATGCATACACCTAATGGCTGATATCGTACTGTCAGTAGTCCTGAACTTACAACCACAATTGGAATTAGAATTCTGATCGCTAAATGATGATATTGTTAAGGAAGTCATCATGTGATAGGACCTCATTTTACAACCATTTTTAACCACATTTGTTCAGCAGATCACTGCAGTCATTAAGGGAATCTGGCTTCCTCAACTGACTTTGCTTGTCAAAAGCTGGCTGGGAAGGTTGCAAATCATGACCATGTGATTGCAACATTTTCTAATAATTCATAAATGCAAGTCAATTGCCAAGGACCCAAAAAGAGACTACATGACTGCAGGGATAGTGCAGTGGTCATAACTTTATAAGTCATTTTTTCTGAGGCAATTATAACTTTGAACATTCGTTGTTAAATAAATGGTTACAAGTCAAGGACTCCTCTATGTGCAAATAAGATTATGAGCACCAAAATTTAGAATATGGAATATAGAGTATTGTTATAGAATATAGAATTCAAGGATTAGACAAAAAAAATTGTTATTCAAATGAGCTTGATAATGCTGGTCTGTATGGACTAATCCAGTGTAAGACAATTTCTGTTATCACAATTGAAATATATATATGCGTGTGTGTGTGTGTGTGTGTGTGTGTTGCATGGTAGTCTAGATTTATGTATTGTATTAAGCCATGGTTTAGTTACGACTGATTAAATAAAACAAGTGGCTAGATTCACAAAGCACTCGAAGCCCATACATGATAATTTACAGACCGCATTAGAAAGAAGCAAGCCACAAAATAGTTTTTGGCAATATAGAAATATAGGCAGAGCTTTGTACAAAAGATATCAGAAAGTATGGGAAGAGGATAATTCAGAGACATTGGGAATGTTTCACATATTTAAGTTTATTAAGCCATTATTTACTGAATAAACAGTTATCCTCTCATAAAGGATAGATCTATGCTGCATTTTAAGCCAGGGTTCTCTCAACCCTGTGAGTCAGGACAATTTTGGGAATTGCAAGCAATAGAGAAATTCACATAAAAAGTAAGTAAGACCTACTTTGCCTTTATAAGCCTGCAGTTGTACCACAAAGTTTGGGAACCCTGTGGCATACAGCTGATATGTATTAAAGGTGGTATATTTGTGTTTTGTCAATGCTGACAACAATGAATCATTGGTTTTATTCTAGGAAAGGGAATGTACAAGGCCACCATGTACAAGGCGTACGTGTACAAGTTTACATGTAAAATGTACAAGGTGAATAGAAGTCTACTTCTGTAACAGCAACCTTTCTACTTCTTTAATTTCAGCATCATAAATTCCCCTTTTTGATCCTGAGCATATGTCAGTTCATTGCATATACCGTATCTCCTATTTGGTCCAGTTACAGAATAAACCAGATGTGGTGTGTGTGTCCGTAGCCATTCTGAAGCACCTTTTCAATTTCAAACTCAAACCCAAATTCTGCATCTGGCAATTTTATTTTATCTTAGAAAGTAATTTCTAGTTTGGACCTACTAGCTTTCAACAAAGAGCATCAGCTTTCTGATGGTAAAATTGAGTTTTAATCGTGCTTATGACATACTGTCTGAAATCTGGCAAAACAAACTAGCACTGTCATTATTTAGCAGGAAATGTTGCAGATGGACCTGGGAACCATGGAGCCTTGTAACTTATTTGGCATCTACTCTTGCTTAAAAAGTGTTATGTGAAGTATCATTTGGAAGAGCAATGATGGACAACTGAGGTCCAATATTAATGATCCATCTGGTGATGATCATAGTATATGAAAGATAACTTAGAATGTAAGAGGAGTTTATAAATTTCTTTTGTTAAAGAAAAATAGTTCACGCTGTGTATTAATAAAAGTATGAAAAAAGATATAGCAGATTGGAAACCAATTGGTCTGATTTTTGTGGAGAATAGTGGAAAGAAAAGGAAGAACTGGTCCTGTATATAAAATATTATTAGAGTAATATCTTAGCAAAAAGAGGAAGTGGACATAAAGAAGATATAGGTTCTTAGAACTGAATACAAATAATTAATTTACTGTTTGTCATGTGTAGTTACAGTAAGGTGGAATATAAAAAGATGCTTGGTGAAATGATGTGTCAAAGAACAAAAATTAGATAAATATACTGAATAATAATTACAAAGTACAAGGAACAGTTAAGATTAAATGAGGTAGAGAAAATGCAGATAATTTTTGATGAAAGATCAAATTTTGGGGGAGACGATTGAAGTGGGCTAACCAAAGTGTCTCCAACGGAATAAATAGAATTTAAAAATAAAGGTGATAAAATTATTTAAACTGAACCGAATTGGGGCAATAAAAAGGAATATTTTAGATGTTTGTATGGAAATGTTAGTGATATGTTGAAATATAAATCTAAATATCCAAAAGAATGATGAAGAGGAAGGTATAAATATTGAGATAATCTTGAAAAACAATAAGGTGGCAGGTATATGGATGTAAGTGGAAAAACATTGAAGTATTTTATTTACTTAATCTTCAATTGTTATAATCTGTCACAATCCAAGAGTAGCTAAGGTGTGGTTTGCTTATGGGAATGGTTTATCAAACACCTGTGCATTTGGGACAATTGAGAAAAAATGCTGCCAGTGTGCCAGTATACACAGGGAAACGTTGTTAAAGTGAATGTCTAAACCAGGGGTAACCTTGGCTCTTTTATGACTCTTTTTGGGGGAGGAGCAGGATTATTAGTTTCAATCTTGTAATATTTAATTTGAATTTTATGTAAGTTGTAATTCATTTTGAATCTATAAAAATAGAATACAAATTTAACAAATCATATCATGTTTGTGGTACATCTATAGCAGATGTACATCTATACATCTCTATTAGAGATACTTATGTCTGTAACCATTTC